CCGTATAGAGGCTGAGGTACAAGCCCGACATATGGCTAAATCGCACAACATCGCTCAACAAACGAGACCAATCGATAGTGCCCGACGTGGACAACTACACCGAGCCCACCGTCGTAGTACCTGTAAGGCAGAACACCCAGCTCGCGATGGGCAGTTCACACCAAGGGCAAATAGTCCCTACCGGGCTTCGCGCCCGACTGAGCAACTTCGCTCCATATGCCCGACAAGTCGTCAAGAATGACGGGCCATCTAAAAGGGTCAACAGGAAGTCTCTCCCCTCGAGTGCGACACTTAGGTGACTCTGGCCAGCGAAAGAAGGCCGGGCACGTATCCAAACGAAAGGCGGGCAAACTCGCCAGCTAAGTCACAGTCACTTACGAGCACTCCTCGGGCCCATAACTTAGGCTAATTTTTATGCAAAAATATAAAAATCAAGCACGGGAAAACAATCAAATTTGAAACAGCATTCATTCAAAAAAACGCCCGAAGGCAACAAGCAAATAAGTATAAACCGACCAAGAAGGCCGGTGATGTTCGTGAAGTACAACCAACGGGCACGCAGGCCCAAAAAAATACAAGCAAATATCAAAGGCACGCAGGCCCGCTATCCTACAATCAAGCTTCCCCGGAACCATCATTGTCGACAACAGGAGAGTCGGGCGAGGGCACGATCGCGCCATCCACGATCTGATGAGTGTAGCCCGTCCCCTCAGTGACCAAACCAGGATTTAGCAAGGAAAGCTGGCCGACTGCGGAGTCGAACCCCTCCTCCATAGCACCGACGCAATCTGCTTCGAGTAGCCGGATATGGGCGACCAGCTCCGATCGACTCTTCAAAGCAGCTATATCCTCCGGCTCGTCCTCGGCAGGAAGCATGGCGACTTTCAGGTCCTCGATCTGTTGAGTCAGGCGCCCGATGTCGGTCTCCAGACGATCCCTGTCCGCGCGGAGAAGCTCTCCCTCCTCGGCTAGCTTCCCCGAATTTTCTTTCTTCAGGATCAGCATCTCTCTCTCAGCGGCCAGCAGCGATGCCTGCTCGCGGAACATCTCCTCGGAGCGTTCCAGGGCAGTCCTTAACTTCCGCGAACTCGAGGTGAGAGCCGCTTTCTCCTGCTCCAGTTCTTCAATACGGACAGGATCCTCCCCCTCCTCGGACAGCACCATGGCCATTTCAGCCATTTTCACCAGCCCGGCCATGTTGGCGGCCATGTGCCTCCTCCGATCCTCCTTACTCATCCTCTTGATAGTCTCAGCCTCATCGGTAACCACAGACAGAGGGAATCTCTCGAAGAAACCCTCCTCTTTGAAGCAAGGGGGCAACCCGAAGGACCTTACGGCGCTGGCGTCCTCGCCGACCGCTGGTCCGCTTTCCACCCGGTTCCTCTTTCTTTATATCAGGTCGGTATGTGGCTCGACCTCTTGAACCTCTGGGATTTCGTCCGACGCGGCCCCCGAGCTGGGCGACGAATCCACCCTCACCACATGAGGAGCGCCCGGGCTATACGGCGGGCCCATCCTCGTTGCTTGGGGAGCCTTCACAACCCTCCTGCCCCGCCTCTGGTCGCAAGACAGCTTCAAGAGTCTTTCCCGACGCCCGGCCATCGAACCTGCACAAAATAAAAGACGGGTTAGTGTCGAGCAAATACGCAAACTAATGACAGTCAAAGAAATTCAAGCAATAAACAACCTAGCAGACGGGCAGCCTGCCTGAACGACTGGCACTCCACGAGTGCCTTAGTATCGATCGGTCGGGCCTCGAATGTCGGATAACCCTCCTCGTCCAAGACATCTTCCCCCTCCCTCGTGGCCCACCTGGCGGGGTGGAAGCTGTCAACGAACCGACAAAGAGTGTCGTACGCCTTCTCATCCTCGGAGCACATGTTGCCCGCAACGGTATGATAGTATCCAGTCCCGTGCTCATAATGCCTGAACATCCAATGCACGGGGAACTTGGTCGTGCGGGTCATCACGGGATACCCGTCGTTGTCTAAAATCGCCTCCCCGTCATCGTCGCTTATGGGCGCCTCCTCCTCGTACAGGGATTCTAAAGCAGACGTGGTAACCGGCCTCACAACGTACCACTTGTCTTTAAAACCCCTTACGGAGTCCATATACATCTTGAATAGTCTCCTCGACTGTTTTAAGGAGACCCAGCTGTGCTTCCCTCCTCGGAACTGGCGCTGCAGATGGAAAATTCTGAAGAAGAGAGGTATAGTCGCCCCAATCCTCAGAAAACGACATGTCAGCTCAAACGCTCGGATAAAGGCGAGCGAGTTCGGGTGTAGCTGGGACGGGGCCAGCCCCAGATGGGCGAAGACCCCGGTCTGAAAGTCACTGAAGGGCAGCTGCAGCCCAAGATCTTTGAACGCAATTTCGTACATAGGGAAGCTATACTCTGGGTACACCGAGCAGATCCGGGCATTGGAGGTCGGTCGCGTAACAACGAAATTCTTTTGAAAATCAGGCTGACCGTGGCCCGCCTCGAGAACAGCATATGGCTTTCGGTTACGCCGGCTATAGATCAACGCGATCCCTCTGGGCTCGGCGCCCACCCAATCCAACAGAGGGTCGTCGACAGTGTCGATCAAACTCACCGCCTCATCGGCACTTTGTTCCTCCCGTTCGGGGCATTCAGAAGAGCACGACTCGTCCGCCATGGTTACCTGCAGAGCACGGGAAACCAGTCAATTGGGCACGAAACCATACGCTCAACGTAACAGAGCAGATGTACCGTGCAACAAACCACGCCGCTCCACGCGCGACCGTAAGTTAAGTTTGAAACAAAATAACAGTCGCCTCCCCGACGTCCGGATAACTCGACGAGACCTTCTCCAAGCCGCTTAAGCGCACCGACAACGCAGTCACTCTCCAACATGCCGACCCAAGGTATGAACATGGCGAGCAACATCATAAAACCTACGGCCAGAGCCATGAACATACCGGGCACGATCATGAATCAGGCGCCGTGGATCATGAAGACCCCGAGCAGCACTTCAGATTGTAACCTAAACTATGTATCTACCGGCCACGAGCATATGTTTGCCGGTCCTAAGCATGAATTTGTCGAGCTAAACATGAATATACCGGGCTAGTCTCACGCGCACAGTCCCTAAAACGTCTACAACGGTGAAAATCATGCATCACAAACAAAAAAACGAAGAAGATAGGTCACTTACTTGCAATCAAGGGATGAGTTCTGCAACGGAGGAAGGGAATCTGTGACGGGAATCGCAGCTATGCTATGCAAATATGGGAGAGCGGCAGCAGTGGGAGCGCAAAGAGTAGTAACGCATTATGGGGCCCAAGGATCCTATTTATAGTGATGACGTGGAATACCAAACGTCACCTCGGGCAACCACGGAGTTTCCCTCCTCGACGCACGGCTCCCAAGGCAATGATGACCCTATCATCATAGGGTGGCGGCACAGTTCCTGAAAGATACCCCATGTGCTCGACGAACGTGCTCCGACGAGGATTCCCCGAGCATCCACCGCGAAGGATTTGTCTCCGAGCACGACACGGAGAAGCCCTCGAGGAGCTGCATCTCTTACCCGGGCGTGAGACCCCGAAACGGAAACCACCTGAAATCAAGCCATGGCTCCTAACCCAAGGAACCACGACTTGGGGGGCTCCTGTTCTGGACTGGGCCCGACAGGCCCAATAACATTAATAAGGCCAAATCCAAACGGACTTGCTGAGGACCACGCCGACCAAAGGGACACCGTCGTGCCCGACATGCTCCCTGAGGTTACTTGCTCGACCTCCAACTGTCCAGCTCGACATCCTGTTGTCCAGCTCGACATCACCGCGAGCACCCCAACTAGGGCAGACTCAGTCCACTGCACTCCCAACGAGACCCCGAAAAGACCGCGTCTCTGTCCGCCCGCACTTCACGCAGAGCATCCAGGGAGGGGACCACGTGCGGGTCCCCACTACGCACGTAGAACCTGGCAGTTCCTCCATTGGGCCAAACCTGTCCGGCCCAATGAAGGAACCTTGGCCCATCGCTGGGGGCTATAAATACCCTCTGTTTCCAGAGGGCCAGGTAATCATCATTCTACCCATACTTACTATTGCCTGCTCGTGCCTCTACTTACTTCAGCATCGGAGTGTCTTGCAGGTACCCCCCCCCCCCCCACCTCGTTCAAAACTTTCAGCTCGGAGCCAGCCGTGACGGTCCAAGTCTGATCAGGTTAGATCACTAAGTATGGTAACATTTATCATCAATTTTCGCCAAGAGAAAGCAGCTGTGGGAGAATTCCGGTTTCAAATTGGTGGAAGGATTTAATTAAGAATGTTAAAAACTGTACTGGATCTATATGTGATTTTGCATGTTTTTTAAGGTTGTAGTTGAAGATGGTAGTCGGGTTCCTTTCTGGTCGACAATATGGTTGAACAACTTGCTGCTGAAATCTTTATTTAGTTGTATCTTTATTTAGTTGTATCAGCTGAGCACTAAGAAGGATGGAATGATTGTTGATATGAGGCAATGGAGTTTATACGATTGGAGATGTGGAAACCTTGGTCTGCCGAGGGTCACTGATGGTGTCCTTTGGTAGGATGCTAAGATGAACCCTAACAAAACTATAAAAACAACTATAAATCTAGAAAAGCATTAAAATCAAACTAAGAAAATAAGATAAAAAGATAACTTTGATTTCATTTGATTGATTCCGAATGTTTCTATGAGACTATATTATATAATACTCTTAGTGAATAATAAACCTAAAAACCCAATAACAATACTAATAACTAATGTTATAAATACTATTATACCCTCTCTATCATTGCTGCCGGGTTCACCTGAACTTTATCCTCAAGGTTCTAAAATTATTCCTGAATCCCATTGTTTAAACTAAACAATCATAAGATTAAGAAGTGTGATGATTGAAGGTATATAGACAACACCCCATTTGAAAACTTCTACTGGAACTCGTATTATACCCCCTATATCATTTCTTTCTTGCAATTTGCAAATATCATAATATTTGCAAGTCTTGTCAACTGAAATCTTTAAGGTTCTTTTTGAGCACGTCCATTAATTTCTTTCTTGCACTTGGCTTGGCATTTTTATTAGCAAGGCTTCTAAATATTCCATCTGGTGAATCCTTGAACTTATCACAAATGGCAGACACTTTCTTGTAATCCAATGCATAGTAACTTTTCTCCCTTATAACAGGATTCATGAAGTTCTCAGCTTGACTACTTAACAAGAGATTAATCAATTGCCTTGCTTCTACCAAGCAATTCTTAAAACTACCCTCATTGTAAATTTCACCCAGACCAGCAGAATAGAACATTTCATCTGCAAAATTCTCTATGATCTGAATATCATACTCGATATTTATAACTGCATTTGCATTAAACCTTTTCACGCCATCATTAGAGAAATCAGCTACTATGACATTAGAAATATACTTAAAAACACCACTCCGAACTTTGTACATGGCATCCAGGGGTAAAATTTGTCGTGCTAGGGTCAAAATAGAGTGAAGGTAAATGATCACTTCATGTATGTAGTCATTTCCATTCTGACTCTTCGGGAGTCCAATTAACATTAACAGTAAGAGTCCTTAACTTGTCTATTTCTTTATTTACCATGCTCAGTAGAGAAATATAAGCCACATCCCTCGATGTCTTAACACCACCTTTGCATTTAAACTGGTCAACATGGGATGCCGCATAGTTGGGCTGCATGTCGAAGGAAAAATTCACAGGCTCTTTCAAGGACAACTATGTTTGTAGCAATCTGCAGAACTTAAGGTACACCAATGTTGCCACTATTGATTGTATCAAGTATTGTTGCATTTAATATATCAATCAGGAAGTTGTCCAAATGCTTCCTCGCAACATCAAAGACATTCATACGCATACCAATACCATGAGACAAGTAATCAACATAGCCTTTGATAAAGGATCTCACAATGCGACATACATCAGGAACCATTGAGGAAAAGTGGGCATAATATCTGATGTTTGAAGATTAAGTGAAAGAACAACATTCTCATAGTCACTTTCCTTTGTTATCAACATTTGGTCATATGAACCATTGCCAAGAACCTCAACAGTTTGTTGTGATTTCAGCAATGCATTAAAGGGACTGGAACTCTTAATGATATAGAGACCAAACCAAGACCAAGCAATTCTAAATTCAGTTATGTTGCAATGCAAGTTTTCAGCCAAAAATGTTTCCAATTCTTGTAAGAGGGTAGAGTTCACATAAATGAGTGTTAGAGGTATTTTAACAAACAACTGGTGGACAAATATTGAAAACATAGTGTTGGCATATTTGTATAGTTCACTTTCTCCACAACCAAGAATATGAACAACTTGAGGGTCAATTGTGGTTTTAGAATTAATGATGGTATAAGATGGGCTTATAACTAAGCTATTCAGCAAAGGATTTTTAGAATCCAAATAGTCCAATAACAACACTAATAATCAATATTATAAATGTTATTATTACCCCCTGTATCGTCCAACTATTTGGATTCTGTTAATCCAAATAGAGATGGTGCTGATATTTTTGTTTAGAATCCGGAACTGGAGCAGGGTTACACAACCAAGGCAGGTTATAATATTTTACTTTCTTTGATGGCCAGTGAGATCCAAGACGATGGGAAGATTGAAGCTTTCAATAGACTTTGGAGTTCTTCGGATCTTTCCGCATTAAAGCTTTCGGATGAAGGACTTTCAATTGAGAAAGGAAAACATCCAACACCTTTTCCTCAATTGTGTGGTTACCAAGAGGTGGAAATGTGGATAGGCGTGGCTTGCTCCTTTGAAGAACCTACGTGGAAGAGTTTCAACGTTTGGTGTAGGAGTCATAGTATTTAGAATCTCAGGTTGGCAGTAAGTTGGTGTATTTGAAATCTTAGAAATGAGATTGTGTTTAAAGGAGGGGTTTGCAATGTGTCCGATGTTATTTGGCCCATAAAACTTTTGGTGTGGAGATGGTATTTTGTAGTATACATTCCCTTTTCCACCTATAATTTTATGATTTTTAGGAACCATTTAATCGGTTACTTTAAGTTTATGTTGGTTGAGAATCTTTCTTTAGTCTAGTTTTTCCGACAAGAGTACCCTAGTACTCTTTTAACATAATCCTTACTTACAAATATATTCAAATAGTTAAAGGTTTAAATATACAAATAATAGAAAAAACTGTTATAGTTTCTGTATTTTATATCTTTGTATATATGTCCCTAGAGAATTAGTAATAAACACAAAATGCTATTAGATTTGCACTCAGGAAAGTGTAGCATATTATTTACATATATGAAATGAGAGTTTAGAGTCTGATCTAGTGAGACTCTAGTTACTGCAACTACTTATTTGCCATTATTTCCTTTACAGACAATGGACCTCATACATACACAATAAATACACATTGTCGTGACACTCTAATATCCTAAGTTTAACTCTCACTACAGAGATTTTCTTGTTGTAGTAATAAAACCAAGCAAACTGAAAAGTAGTTATTCCGGCTGACCGTGTTTATCTCCAATGCTTTACATAACTATCGCTTGCAGAGGAAATTTCTGATATTAACATCTATTTTGACTGTACAAAAGTAATGTGATGATTAGGAATTCGACTTCTTGTACTAAAGACTTTCAATTAGGATGCTTGATGATGTGAGAAATTAGGCCAACAATCCTATGCGCCTTTCTGCAATGATGAAGGATATGTAAAAACTCTAACCAATTCAAATGTTATAAATGGAAATTTATATATGAAAAGAGTCTGTATTCATTACCTCCAGTGGTGATCAGTTTCTCCACACGAGAGACTATGTGTTTGCCGTAAGTATATCTCTTAAGGGCATTCAAGTGAACCTTGATGCGAGAAAGGATCAGCTCAAGACTTTGATCATCACAAGTCTCGAGAACCTTTTGCACAACATAATTTCCAAACGGGTCTTTCATCATAGCCTGCATATTGTATGTTGAATATCATTCATCTAGGCTCTAACAAGTACATATATGGAATATTTAGAGTTTATAGGAGTGCTAAAATTTCCTTGTTAAGTACACCTATTAATTTCATTTATCTAAATAAAAAATTGGGAGGGGAAAGTGAACACAAATGAACGGGTTCTTAAACAATGACTGCACAATAGCTCTAGTTACCAAGTAATGTTTTCGGCTGATGATAAATTGTCACGAAAAATATTTGGATAACCGATAATTTCTAGCCACAAAAATTAAATATTGAACAACATAAGAGATGAAAAGGAGGTCATACCTGTAAGGGCTCATTCTCATCAGAGGTACCAAGCATTTCATTCACCAAAATTTGACGTTCTTCAGGAGAGCCGAAAGCCAAGCACTTCTCAATGACATTAGAAGCAAATTTTTGTTGGCTCATCTTAACAATTTGTCCAGCAAGCTTGCTGATAACAATAGTTCGTTCATGTGGTTTACCATGTTCGAGGATGTGCTACAAAAAAGTACGGTATGGAAATAGAAATCGGGTTAGCAAAAAAATAAGCACAAGAAATAACTAACATGAGAAAAAGCAAATTCCGAGTGCAAAAATTCATGAAACTACACAGCACATTACAAGTGCAAAAATATAAGTGAACAATTGTCAAAGCATAAACATGAATTGAGTTGCTAATGTACATTACCTTGTAAAATAAACTCATGAAATTGTTACATACCTGAATAACATAATTTCCATATTGATCCTGTGCTAAGGTGCAGACAGATTGCATGATTTCATCCATGATAATTTCTTGAGTATTTAGATCATCACAATGTTCTAGAACCCTCTGTTAGGATCCATGTGAACTGTTAATTGTCAAATAAAATGCTAAAAGAAATTAAGCTCATGCAGCGCCAATAGAAGGTGACTACCATGTCCAGTGGTCTAACCTGAATAACTCTGCACCCATAAGGATGAGTAGAAAGTGCAACAACTTGCCCATAAAAGGATGAGATGATAAACTGAATTCTGTCTTGAGGGACACACTCTATGCACTTTTGAATAACATGGTTTCCATTTTGGTCACGTACGCATTTCATTATTGCACCACTGAGCTCTGACACCATTTGGCTCTGCTGATCAACATCAACCACCTCCAAGGCCTGTCAATAAATTTATGAAAAGAGTTGAAATATTGCATTCATTTTACCACTTACCTATATTAACAGAAATCAAATAGGAACTAAATCCATTAAACCCTAATGTCTACAGACCTAAGGATGACTAAACCTATTAAGTTTGATGGATACCATTATGATATCAAAACAAACTTCAGTATTGCATAAGAATATCTCACATATTCCATTATTTACTTAGTATTCAAGCATGCATCAGTACAAAAAAATAGCTGACCAAAATATTCATGTTTGATATACAAAAAGAAGTCACCTTCACCCATAAAAAGAGGCACTGAGATTTGACAAGGACAAACAAACCATCTTATATAAAAATTGAAGATACCATATTTTAAGAGTTAGGCATGAGTTGGCGAATAGGGAATTATATGAGAATATAAAGCTTGAAATGCACCTTCTGAATCACTCTGCAACCATACATTTGCAGACTAAGAGGTAAAACATGACCTGTAAGTTGGTTGGCCAATTCCTTTCTTTGACCATCAGTACCGTGCTCAAAAAACTGTAATATTGCAATGTCAAATGTGAAACTCTAACCAACCAAATAAAAAGAGCATATGATAACACTACGCTCAGCATAAAGTATAAAAAGGCTAAATATACTTTCTGTATGACATAATTGCCAAAGACATCAGTCATCAAAGCACGAGCATGAGGAATAATCTCAGGAAATATCTTGGTCTTCTCTTCTACTGAAGCAGTTTCTAATTTCTGCTGAATAAAGCGGCTACCATACTGATCAGTACTGCATTATAGTAAAAATTATCAAATCAGACTTCCAGAGCTACGCCACTAGAAACAACAGTAGAGGTGCAAAATCATACCTGAACTGTACCGCATGATCAGTGATATCTGAGAGTTCAAAAGGTTTGGCTTTGTTGTTCTTGAATTCATCCAGCAAGGATGAAGCAAACCTAGCCTCCATGTTATTGCCAATATCAGCATGCCATGAGCTGCCAGAACCTCCCATAGAACTTCTCATCATGGAATTTATGTGTGAGATACGTTCATTCTCAAATAGTGGATTTCCAGATCCGAGAGACGGAAGTGAGGAATTGGCCATCTGCTTTCCTGAATGTGGCATTCCAAGACCATATGGTTGACTCCCAAATAACCCATGATTAAGAAGACCAGATTTGCTCAGAAGTGGGAGTTCATACAGTTGCTTTTGTTGACTAATAAGTGTTTCAAGATATGCTTTCCGAAGTCCCTCTAAGTCTCCATGTGAAGCATCAGAGAAATTTCTCATTTGAAAAGGATCAGCAGAACTACTCATCCCATGCATGGAGTAATCAGAACTTTGCTGCATGCATTGGATAATGCGTGGGTCCAGAGTTGCAGAATTGAATTCAGAGCCCACTTGATTTCCCAGTGCATCTAAATTTTGTCCATCTCTCCGACCCCTCAAAGCTAGAATCAAATAAATGAACAGTTAGATCCAATTAATAATGCTAAGCTTCACTAACGTTAAATTAATTTCATTCAAAAACACATTTAAAACACAAACACTCACGCGCGCACACACAGACCTGTCGCAAGATTATTATTGTACACATTATTCAATTTTGTGTTTGCAGGATATGCACCAGGAACTTGGCCAGCGAAGTCTATACTTGGCAAACTTGTCACGTTTCCAGTAGAATGCACATTTGAACGGAGATTAGCAAAAGAAGCAGTTTTTTTCAGTAGATTGACTCGCTCATTCAAACTAAATCCGTTCAGCTCCGTTGCAAGCTCATTGTGTTTAGGCAAATTAGCATTGTTCGGTGTGCTTATCAGAACATTAGCATGATTATCAACTTCCATCTGCATCTTAGATTTCAAAATACTATCTTGTTCTGCACGTCTGCCACCAGATAGATTTAACGCTGATAAAGAGGACACCATATCAGCAAGATCGTTTATATTGGAAGAGTGGCCATTGTGGTTACCCAAGCCAATACCACTTTTCTCAGCAGAGAACACTTCGCTACCCACATGAGGAAGTCCAGATCTAACAGGTCTCCCAATAACGTGTGATTCAGGAGTCGTCGACCTTGACAGAGAAGAACCCACAGCAGATGAAAAACTATGAGAATTTACACTGTGGTTCTGAAGTCCAATCAAACCTGGGGTAGAGGCTGATGAACGCAACCCCTCCAAGGACTCGCGATCAAGAATGCCAGTTGAATCCCTGATATCACCAAATGCATTGTGACTTGCTGGACGTGACATATTGCTAGACAAAGCAGGTTGATCAAATCCATCCTGCTAAAGCGTTAACTTCAAATATAAGTGTAATAAAATGACAATGATAGAACATGACAAGAAATTAATAGGAAATGCTCTGTCAATTTGTTTGTATTATGAAGACGAAGAATCTTTTTTTCATCTTACTGGAAATCAAAGTATACAGATAAAAAATCAAGACCACAACAGAACCAATCAGGATAAATGCAGGTACCTGAAGAATGTCTGAATAACCTGTCCTCCTCACACCAAGACCAGTTCCTGGCATTCTTGTCCTACCATCCATATGTCTATCAAGCATTTGATTTGAACTCTGCCTAGAGAGATTCCGCCCACTGGCTTTCCTCAGCTCCATCAAATCATTTTCGGCCTGTTTTGCCGAAAACTCTGGTTGCATTGAAAACAGCGACGAGCTATCACCATTCGGGGTTGCATTCTTCCTCCAGTCCCCAAATCCCTCAGTTGAAGAAGACCCACCAACTTGAAACCTTTGTGCAACACGCCAATCTTCTTTTGACAACAACGGTGGCGGCAATCTAGGATTAATACTCTCATGCGAATAATAATACGAAAGATACGCCGGATGTGATCGAATCTCATCTTCAGTCAAAATCCCATTACTATTATTACTCCTCCCACCATTATTAGCTCCATAATCAAAATTCCTCAAACTACCAAAAGCACTCAACGACCCCTCAACTGTCGGAGGCGCACTTCCACTCCTATAAATATCAAAACCACGTTCTCGATTAAAATACTGTTGATTACGCTGCTCTTGCAGTATCCTTTCCAGGTCACTCTGCAAGGTGTCTTCAATAGTCCGATTCTTCAAATCCAAAGTTTGCACATCTACCTTACTCCCACTGGCCATCTCCAACCTTAAACTAGAAGTCACCTAAGAATGCCACAAAAGCACCCCATTAAAGTCACACAATTAAAAAAAAAAAACATTTTTTTTAGAAAATTAAAATAAATAAAAAAGCCGTGAAATCAAACAAAATATAACAAAACAAATGATCATGATGGTTCATTCTCTTTCACTATATCATCAAAAAATAAGAAATTCACCAAAATTAAGGGCAATAATTACATCAAACAATCAATACAGAAATTTCAATTACAATTATAAGGCAAAAAATAAAAAATCATACCTTTGAGGCTCCCTCAAAAGCTGAAAAGGAACCTTTCCATGAATAAACAAAATCCAAAATCCGATCCTATCTGAAACAGAAATAGATTAATCCGTTATCGAGAAAAGACAAGAAAACAACCATTTGCAACAATTAATGCGCAAATCAACACGTAAATTTTGCACATTTCATCATAATTCACGTCATGATTGAAAAATTATATGAATAAATGAATTCAGATTTTAATTTATTGATTTATATTGGAAATTCTTGTAGGAAAAGATTTCTGAGAAACAAAAAGAGGTAATTGAGTTACCGTTTTGAGGAAGCTGAAAATCGTTGGTGTTCTGTTCCGAATCCGAAATAGAACAATTCTGTGAGAGAGGATTTGCAGAGAGATGTCGTGGGTCTGGAAATTGGGCTTTTTATTTAATGGGCTTTTCCTTTTTGGGTCTTATTTTGTTGAGATTTTGTAATTGCTAGTAACACCCCTTTTCTCATTCTTCCATTTTAAAAAACCTCGTTTGCTCATACACCCTTTTGTTACCTCCAATTTAATCTACTTGGATAGGCCACAAACATATGAGTAAATGAGGAAAGGGATGGATGTGTACACCACGAGGCTAATGTGTGTACAATATTAATGTTAATAATCTTATGCTTAATAATGTCAAGCGATGGGAAGAACAAAAAATTAAATAAATAGTCACACATGATTCAATTAAGGAAATTTTGTATGTACCCCTTTGGAAAGATGTGGTGAGGACTGTTTGGTTTGGAAAGAGAAACACAATAGTGATTATATTGTCAAAACAAGTTACGAGTTGTTGATGCGTGTCCAAAGTGAACAATAATATCGAATTATAAAGGGGGACTAGTGTAGTTTGTGGAAGATTAGAGCACCACTGAAAGTTAAACACTTAGTATGGCGGATATGCCGTGACTGCCTCCCTACACGATTGCACCTTCGTTAACACTGTTTCGTGTTCCGCTATATGTCAATTGTGTGAAGGAGTAAAACATGAGTGACACGTGTTTTTTAGATGTACAACAAGTTTAGAATGCTGAAATGCCGCAGGTTTGAGCTCAATTATCGCACCAAGGTTGTAGATTTACGATGAAGTGAAGACATTAATTCATGATATATGTAGTAAGGAGGAAATGACAGTCGCAAATATAGTTGTTGTCATGTTATGGTTGCTTTAGAACAATAGAAACAATTTGATACAAAACAATGAGAAGAGTGGTGCAATTCAATTGGGTCTGCAAGCATTTTATAGCTAGAAGGATTGGTTTATAGCGCAAAAGGATAACACAATACCATGAATGAACCAGAATCAGCAGCAACAAACATGCAACCACCACGTGAAGGATGGGTGAAATGCAACGTCAATGCCATATTTAATAACCAAAGGGGGACAACAAACATAGAGTGATGCTTCAGAGATGAGAACCTAAGGTTTGTTAGTCCAGGAACACCGTGGAACTTTGGTATTTATTCTATAATAGAGGCTGAAGCATTGGCCTTGAAAGATGATTTGCATGAACTCATTCATATGAAAACGGAACAAAATGTATTTGAGGGTGTAAGCAATTTATACAAATTATGGTGGTAATTTAGAATTCAGTGTCATTATTTTTAGTATTAAAAATTTATTAGCTTTACATTCCAACTTCAAGGTGAAGTTTGTTAAGGACCAAGCGAACTCGGTTGCTCACTTGTTAGCTAAAGCGATCAATTTTTGAATTATGTGCAATGCTTTATTTGATTCCTCCTTGTATTGAGAAACAATTGATTAATGATATGAGTTGAGTTGTATCCAAAAAATTACTATCAAGGGATTCATAATTAAGTCCATGGGGTGTGTTAGAAAATTAAGTCCATGGGGTGTGTTAGAATTTTGAAATCCGAATTCACCCCTATGCTTAACACACACAATCAAAAGATATAGATAATATTATTTTAGGGTTGAGTTCGAAGATGAAAATCCAAACTAATATTTTACTTGGATGTGGTGTCTTTCTGTTGAAGAGAAATATTGTATAATTGATTTGTACATATTTCAAAATTCAAAGTGTGCAAACGATATATTTAAATTTCTATAGGATTATGATCACCCACATGGGATAGACACTACTCCTAATATAAGAGAGTTTCTTATGGAACCCTATATAGGGGACAAGACCTTATGTAAAATCGAAAATGAATTTTTGGGATGCACCCTACACTTATCGAGCCAGGCAAAATTTCGTTACACCCTTGTTTAATGTAAGAAACATACCAAAAACGTAACACCGGTGGAAAACCGGAGATATATATCCGAGAAATTTATGTGGGAAAAAACAAAAACAAAATTCCACCTATAAACTGGATATACATTTCTGGTTTATTCTGAGAAACTAAAAGCTTAAAACAACAAGGTCCATGGGGTATTGATCATGCTCATTTCAAAAGTATGACCAAAATATTCTCCAAAAAATCCTCACATTCTCAATACCATTTTCACTCAAAATAAACATTCTTGTGGTGCATTATATCAAAAGGAGCTAAAGGAAACTGAATTTAAGGTAAAACTTCCTCTTTTCAAATCTACGTTAATCACATTAATCTGTTCTTTTTGTGAAAAAATGTCACGTTAATATCAGAAGTATATTTCCAGTTTGCAGATGAACTTAACCGAAAATGTACTTCTGGTTCATGTAACAACTATTTCCAGCAACTTCATTTTCTTATTTTCCTATGATGTTTCTTAGTTTAACCTGTTTTTACATATTAGATATGATACATCATGATAATTGTACTAAAGTTATCGTGTCTCAAGGTGTTTCTCCTAATGTGTCTCAAGGTGTCTCGCCTATTCTTTCTCAAGGTGTTTCTCCTATTGTGTCTCAAGGTGTTTCGCCTATTGTTGTTTCGCCTATTGTTATCAAGGCGGTCGATGTGCAGAAGCATTTTACAAATGAACAAAAATATGAATCTCGAGATGTCATGATGAAGTGGATTTGTACGGAGGCCACCAAACAAGGCTTTGGTGTTGTGATAGGAAGGTCCGATAAGGGTTCAGATAGACGACTTGCATTTGTGACATTGACATTCGAAAGAAGTGGGATATATAGGCGGCTGTAACGCAGTGGGAGAACTGACTTGGTTGTTTTGCGTTTGATCGCAAATGTTGCGGTTAGCAAGAGTCGTCACCGACTTTTCTTTTATCCAAAAGGAAAGGCTAAAAGAATAGGAAAGACCTTTGAGATGTTTTCTTGAGTTCGGGGGTAGATTATGAAAAAGGAAGGTATTAGCATCATTTTCATCCGTAGTTATCTACGGGCTCTTAGTTGCTTGCTAGATCACTTACTTTTGTTTGAAAATGTGCTTTGGGTGGTTTTTGAAAGTATTTTGAAAAGGCGCCATCGTTTAGGCAAACTTTGTAATAATTCTCGTTCGTAAGAATATATACAAAGTGTTGATCTTTTGAAAATGTTTCAAGTTTGAAAGATGTTTTGAAAGTGTTGGTGTTTGTTTTGAAAATAACAAGGATATTTTGGTTTGAAAATGAGCAAGCAACTAGGAACATTCTACCTACTCAAAAGTCTTTCTTGTTTATTTCCTCTTTCCTTTGACATTGTTATTTTACCATTGATTGGTAAGTAACCTTATCTTTGGATGTAAAAGGGACGGGAATGAGTCATCGTATAGCCATGAATAACAACATTGTAAGATATCTTAGCATTTTCTTTAAGGGACCAAGATCATTTTTGAAAGGCAACTTTGGATAGCGTCATCGAGGGACTATGATCTTGTATTTTTTATTTGTTTTTGCTAAGATACCCCACATGCATAACATGACTATTTTATAAGGCAACAAAGTGGATTTACCCTAAGAGTGTAAGTGTGCAAGTGTGTTGATTTACATGCATTGTTTTGTCTTTGAATTAGGGTTTTCTAAGCATTGGTTTTATCTTTTCACACAAACCCTAATTTACTAGCATGTATATATAAAGCATTAAATTGCGGGAAATAAAAATATTAAGCTATTACATCAATAGGGGAGGGGGTGTACAAATTTACAAATGGGGATTTTGCAAGAAAATTAAATCTAATTAACTATTACAACCATATTGAATATTGTACAAAATTGAAAATAAAAATGCAAGAATGTAAATGAAAAAAGAAATGATTTTGTTTGTTTTTTTATGAAAGGGTTTAGTCTTGACCTAATTAAAGAAAATGATTAAGGAAAATTAAATAAAATTGACTTAAACTAATTAAGAAAATAAATTAACTTAAAAATGATTTTTAGGGTTTTTAAGAAAAAAGGTTTTAAATTAATAAAAATAAAAATGAGAAAATTAATTAATTAAGAGAAACCTAAATTCTAAGTTAATTTTAATTAAGGAAAATAAAATAATAATTAAACCTAAGTCTAAATATTAATTAACTAAGAAAAAAAAATTTATTTATTAAAAGAAAAAATGTTTTTGTTTTTTTTGTCTTTATAAAGAAAATAAAATAAATAAGTGTAAATAGTAAATAAAAATATATTTTTTTCATTAATAAAAAAATTATAATAATAGTAATAAAATAATAAAATAAAACTGAAAATAAAATAAAATAAGAAAGGAAATAAATAAAAATGAAATAAATAAAATAAAGAAATAAATGACCAGGGGGTGCTGAAGCAGGGCCAGGGGTTAGAAAGTTAGCAAAAAAAAAATGAAGGTCCAATGTTATGGGGCCCAGGCG